GTTCAAATAGTGACCGGATGTCAAATTATGTGCAAACGACCCCGGAATAGAATTTTGATGATTCCAACAGCTCTGTATGGTGATTATGGACTTAGGAGCGTGATCGGAATTTTATTTAGAAGTCCGTAATAGAATTAAGCTTGAAAAGCCAAAAGTTAAATTTTTGGGAAGTTTGACCGGGGGGTTGACTTTTTGATATCGAGGTCGGAATCCGATTCTGGAAATTGGAATAGGTCTGTTATGTCATTTATGACTTGTGTGCAAAATTTGAAATCATTCCGAATTGTTTTGATGTGTTTCACCACAAGATATAGAATATGAAAGTTCAAAGTTCATAGATTTTGATTTGAGGTGTGATTCGTCGTTTTGATATTGTTTGATGTGGGTTGAAGCCTCGAATAAGTTTGTATTGTATTTTGGAATATGTTGGTATAATTGGTTAAGGTCCCGAGGGTCTTGGGTGGATTTCGGAAGGTAAACGGAATGGATTTCGGACAAAGAAGGCTGCTGGAAATTTCTGTTGCAGAAATTTCTGGTGCGTAGAGCCAAATGTGGAAGCTTATATCTCGCAATCTATAAGAAATCAAAATATTTTCAAAACATAAAAGTTGTAGCCATTTGATTCTGGTTTCCAGAAAGTTAAACCATTAATTATTTGGACATTTGTACAAAAAGTTATGATGGACTGAATGAAGGCTGGTAGAGCAGTTTTGTCAGAAATTGGCAAAATTTCTGATGTGTGGAGCCAACTTTGGAAGCTTATATCTTGAAATCCATAAGGAATCAGAAAATTTTTGAAACATGAAAGTTGTAGCCCTTTGATTTTAATTTTCAGAAAGTTAAACCATTCATTATTTGGGCATTTGTACATAAAGTTATGATCGATTGAAAGAAAGCTGATAGAGCAGTTTCTGGTGGACTTTTAGTGACGAAAAATGGACTTTTAGTGACGGAAAATGGACTTTTAGTGACGGATTGACAGAAACTTAAGGACCAAAAATGGTCATTTCATTCATTTCGTTTTGGATTTTTGGAGCACGGTTCTTGGGCGATTTTCACGAGAAAACATTAGGGTAAGTGTTCCTTATCCTATATTGATTATATTTCATGATTCCATACTCATTTACATCATGAATCCGTGAATTTATGGAAGAAAAATCNAATGGACTTTTAGTGACGGATTGGCAGAAACTTAAGGACCAAAAATGGTCATTTCATTCATTTCGTTTTGGATTTTTGGAGCACGGTTCTTGGGCGATTTTCACGAGAAAACATTAGGGTAAGTGTTCCTTATCCTATATTGATTATATTTCATGATTCCATACTCATTTATATCATGAATTCGTGAATTTATGGAAGAAAAATCAAGATTTTTGCAAAATCTTCCAAAAACGAAAATTTAAGATTTGGAGGTCGAGTTATTATCGGATTTTGATAAAATTGGTATGGGTGGACTCATAATTGAATGGGTTGTCGGATTTTGTAAGTTTCGCCGGATTCCGAGATATGGGCCCCACAGGCAAATTTTGAGCTAATTTCGGATTTTATTGAAAATATAATATTTTCTTATGAAATTGATTACTATAATTTTTGTTGACTGTATCGAATTAATTATAACTAGATACGAGTCGATCGGAGTCGGAAAATCGAGAAAAAAGTATAATACTTGGTTAAATTGGAGCAAGTCGAGGTAAGTAGTGTCTAACCTTATGTGGGAAAAATTTTTCCTAGGATTGATAATTGTAATGTGTGAAAAGTCGTGTACACGAGGTGACGAGTGTGTACACGGGCTAAATTTGAAAGATTATGTTTTAAATTGTGTAGATCATTGTTGCGCATTAATTAAATTATTTTATTTTGTTATATTATTCATTGTTGATTTAATGTTTATATTTTAAATTTACTTGACCTTTTCCTGCTAACTGTTTTATTTGTTTAGTTGGAACTTGGTTTCTTTTATTCTGTGCATTATTTGAAGGTTGATTTTATTAAATTAAATATTATTAATATGAAATATTTGACATTTTAAACTTGATATTGAAGCAACGTATTAAAAAATTTAAAATATTATTTTCATGAATTATTTACTCCTAAATATTTTTATAAGATTTCCGTACTCATTGTGATGGAGCAGTGAGTTCTTTATTATGGAAAAATATTATTGTTGAATTATTTTGACATGAGCCGTGAGCTCTTTATTGTGAAAAATATTATTTTGACATGAGCCGTGAGCTCTTTATTGTGAAAAAATATTATTGTTAAATTATTTTGACATGAGCCGTGAGCCTTTATTGAGAAAATATTATTGTTCAATTATTTTTACATGAGGCGTGAGCTCTTTATTGTGAAAAAATATTATTGTTAAATTATTTTGACATGAGCCGTGAGCCTTTATTGAGAAAATATTATTGTTCAATTATTTTGACATGAGTCGTGAGCTCTTTATTGTAAAAAATATTATTGTTCAATTATTTTTACATGAGGCGTGAGCTCTTTATTGTGAAAAATATTGTTGTTGAATTATTTTGGCAAGTTAAATTATTTGAGCACCTGAGGTATAAATTGTGATATTGATACGCATGCGGTGGTATAAGGTCTTGGTATTGAAACGCATGCGGTGAGATAAGGGTGGCTTGATATGCGTGACTAGTAGGGGAACTACTAGAAGTCATGTGATGTGATAAGGATGGCTAAAACGCGGGGTGCTATTTCGAAAAAAATATTTTCTTTCAAATAAATTGTGAAGGCTCCCGCGGTGAGATAAGCAAATGTGATATTGTGAATTTAATTATAATTTGGGACTACGAGACGGTACCTCGGTAGTGCCCTTGTTGATATTGATTTATGGTCGTAGTTGCCTTTGATTTTTAGTGTGATTTTTCTTAAAGTTGAAAATAAATTCTGTTTTGTTTTTCACGACGTATTTATTTGCTATTATTTGGTGTAATTAAATGTGACATACTACCTGATTTATTTCCATTATCATTTTATCTTATTAAATTATTTAAACATTTTTTTCCATGTCATTATCTATTCTCCAGTAGGGCCTAACCTGACATCGTCACTACTCTACCGAGGTTAGGCTTGGCACTTACTGGGTACCGGTGTGGTGTACTCATACTACGCTTCTGCACATCTTTTTGTGCAGATCCAGGTACATCTTACCAGTCTAGACATCAGTGAGTTACCTGCGCACAAAGACTTCGAGGTATATCTGCCAGCGTCCGCAGACTCCGGAGTCCCCTTCTATCTTACTATGTTGTCTTCCTTATTTGCTTTAGACTCTAATGTATAGAGACATAAAGAATAAATTCTTAGAAGCTTGTGACTTATTTCTACCGGGTTTTGGGAGTTGAAATTGTTTGAATTGTAGTTTATTTATTTCAGATATTTATTATTATTCCGCATTGATAGGCTTACCTAGTCTTAGAGACTAGGTGCCATCACGACATCCTACGGAGGAAATTTGGGATCGTGACAAAGAACTATTGGGAAATCGCCTCTAGGGTTTCTAAGTTTGAAATTTTGAAGAATGGGAGAAAATCACGTCTAACTTACACTTTGATCAGGCCCAAATGTTGCAATTATGACCCGGGGTTCGCAATTGCGAACCCTGCAAATGCGAGTAAACTATCGCAATTGCGAATAATATGTCTGCAAATGCGAATCTAAGGGGATCGCAAATGCGACCCCTTATCTCGCAAATGCGAAAGTCCACCCCCCAGCCCCTGCTCACACATGCGAAGTCTTCTTCGCAAATGCGAGATCTGCAGACAACACCAGAAAACACTCATGCACCAGCTATGATTCTAAGTCCAAATTTACTTCGTAGCCTATCCAAAACTCACATGAGCCCTCGGGGCTCCCAACCAAATATGCACACAAGTCCAAAAATATTATACGAACTTGCTCGCGCGATCAAATCGCCAAAATAACACCTAAAACTACGAATCAGACACCAAATCAAATGAAATTTTCAAGAAAATCTAAGAACTTCTATTTTAACCGTCGGACGACCGAATCACGTCAAACCAACTCCGTTTCTCATCAAATTTGATAGACAAGTCATAAATATAGTAATGAACCTATATCGGGTTCCGAAACCAAAATACAGACTTGGTATCAACAACGTCAAACATTGGTCAATTTTTTAAAAGTCATTAAGCATTTAAATTTCAAAATTTTGACAAAAAGCGATAACTCGAGTTAGGGACCTCCGAATTTGATTCCGGGCATATGCCTAGGTCCCAAATCACGATATGGACCTACCAGGGTCGTCAAAATACGGATTCGGGTCCGTTTGCTCAAAATGTTGACCGAAATCAACTCAAATAGATTTTAAGGTAAAATTTCATATTTTATCAATTTTTAACATAAAAGCCTTCCGAAAAAATACCTGGATCGCGCACACCAATCGAGGAAGGCTTGAGGAAGCTATTGGAGGCTTCGAAACACAGAATTAAGGTTTAAAACTCTAGATGACCTATCAGGTCATCACATTGGTATATTTACGTAAGATTCCCTTTAAAGTTCGCCATTTTTCTCAAACGAGATTACCACTTTGGATACTTTCTCTATCCCAATTTATGATATGGTGTTTGACTAAATATAATTTTTTTTAAAAATATATTAGTAATTTATGATCTTAAATAAGTCATAAATATTTATACGTCTATAAATTATCTCACTAAGGATAAAATAAAATTTTAAAGTTAAAATAAATATAAAAATATATTATTCTTCTTAAAGCAGAATAAAAAAATGGTATCACATAAATTGAGAAGGAGGAAGTAGTAGTTTTAAATTTTAATCTTCTAATCAAATTATTTTTTTCGAACTCCCTACAACTAGCATAGTTTTATAAAATGGCCAACTTCTAGATGTAAGACTATAAAAAAAAGATTATTTGCATCATCCAACTTCTATCTGTTTGGTTCGAAGTGATTCTGATTTTAAGTTTAGGAAAAAAAATGTGAAAAATACCCTTTTACTCTATGGAGTATCTTAATTTTTCTGTTTTCTATATGTTGGTTATATCTTCGTCGCAAATCATTTTATATCTCTCTGACTCTAATAGAACTCTAACCGTGTATAATAAATCGTAATTTTTAACCATAACCTAAAGTAGAAGAAAAACTTGTATAATCTTTTTCTGGAATTAAGTTGAAACACCCAAATAACCATAACTAAAAACCTGATTCGTACGGATCTTCCTTTTTGTTGAGCGCACCACTGAGAAGAAACAGAATCAGCAGTCGGAAAATCGGAGCAGCGCTTCACATTCAATATCAGGTTTATTTTCGATTGTAATTTCAATTTCTGTTTTTTTTTCCTTTCTTCCGAACAAAAAATCATTTGCTTTGTTATTCCCGTCTTCTAGAACTACTTGGTGAAAGGATGAGATTTTTATCATCTGGGTGTGATCAATTTAGCTGAAATTGAATTGGGATTTCTGTAAAAGTTTATGGGGTTAGAGTTATTTTTGAATTTATGGGCGATTTGGTGGTTTATGTTTGGTTGATCAGAAATTCTAGGAAAACTTTTTCCAAGAAAAACAATTTTCCTACTGTAATGGTATCATCGCCTAGATGAGTTTATATGAAGTAACATGGTCAGTGAGGATTCTATATAGCTGGCCCCAACTTGTTTGGGAAGGAGGCTCAGTTGTAGTAGTAATGGTATTATCCCTACTTTTGACTCTCATGGCGGTGCTAGCTATAGCCATGGAGCAAATTTTGATGTTATATGAGCAACGTAATATATATAATATTTACCTTTGCACCGAAAAGAAAAAAAGAAGAACAACAATTTTATAGGAAACTATTTAAAAATTGTATAATCTCGTGAAATATTTATTGTTTATCTTCTTTACAACAATGCCAATTGGTGATGAGGCCTACACCGTAGCGCTTTGGTGACTGCACTGAAGCACCAAAGAAGTGCAAAAATATGGCACCATAAAGGGTGGTCTTGAATTTTTCGTCCCCTCCCCCCCCCCCCCCGGTTGCCCCAAGGGCAAACCGTTTATCCACGCTTGCACCATTGGCAAATCTTTAAGGTCAAAATTCAAACCTTTTAAACTTGAAGGTTTTCCCATGTGGCAAGCAGGGTCAAAAGTTCAAGACCACCCACTTCCAAGGCCATTCTTGTAAATCACCACTGAAGCACCGCCTAAGTGAGCCCAAGCATTCAGCCTATTTTGCAGCTAGTTTCAGAGCTTTAGTGCACCTTGGACGAGCCTTTAACAACACCGTTCCTAACTTTGATCTTTAGAATGCGTTTGATTCATGAGTCGTCGCTTTCGGGGGACCCAAAAGTGTAAGTATGGATTCCTTATTGCATTCCTCCAACTTTTTAGTGCAATCTACCCATTTTCTAGACACATCAAGTTACTACTTTTACAGGATCCTTGAAGCTCAAGACCTGACCAAAGTATCTTCACATCGTGTTTTAAGGAAAATTAAGAAACACAACTTGTAAGTGTTAAATGCAAATGGTCCATACTTCATCAACTGCAGTCAACGAGCATGTGAATACATTATATGACCAACTGGGAACTTGTTTTTCATCTATATAAGTATACTAAAATATTTATGTGACAGGCCAAACAATGTCAACGAAGTCCTTTAGGGACAGGCCTAGGGGAGGAAGCCCTAAATTCATATAGTCCTAATGCATACATATCGTAGAGGATTAGTTGTAGCTTCTTCTTATTGGAGATCAAAGTCATAAAGGTTGTTTACATGGATTGGTTGTCGCGCAAATAGCAAGAACCAGCAATTTTTAGCATGTTAGCCGCAGTAAAAATGGGTATTTTTTATTTTGGCATATTATTGGCATACATATTTTTGGAAATGTGTAACATCTTAATACCTTCTGATGGTCACCAGCCATAACTATCTGGAGATATCTTTTAACAGGTAAAATTACTATCGACATGATATGTAGTTCATCATGGTTGAACTGTTCCTTGTGATAGATATACTTAGCCACAAGGCAAGAAAACAGCCTCCATGACATTGAGAAATAGAGTTCCCATAATGCGACTCTCTAGTGTTATTGAAGAAAAAGGAAAAATAAAAAATAAAAAAAATACAACAAACATGAAAACAGCAAAGGCCATTCCTGAATCAAGATGGATAATTTGCCACTAATCCAAACACGAAGAATAGAAAAGGGGTGAAAACCTATCACTTGCTAGGTATATGTACAATAATGAACATAAAAGCTACAAGTACGAACAACTAAAAGAAAAATGCTCCTTTGTTGTCCAAGTTCAAGTGCTGTTATTTTGATATGCTGAAGGTTAGATATTTCAATTAGCGATCTATTTGTTCACTGGATGACAGGGTGGGAACCCTCTGTTGCCATATTTGTGTGACGTTCTCTGCAGTAAATATGAATTGTCATCACAGTGAGTAAGTTTACAGTTTAATGTTTCATGGTACAGTTTAGACTATCAACGTTTCATGGTAAATCTCCACAAGCGTCAAAGTTCTGATTATTCTTGGTTGGAGTCACTGGAAACTTTCTGGAAAACAAAAGTATGTCCAAAGGAAGTTCTTTCTATTTACGAGAATTTTTGGAACTCGCATTTTAACTGAATATCTCACTTTACTGACATGTATTTCTTGACAAGGTGGGTTGCTCTGATGGTAAGCACCCTCCACTTCCAACCAAGAGGTTGTGAGTTCTTGGAGGGAAGGATGTCGAGGGTCTATTGGAAACAACCTCTCTACCCCAGGGTAGGGGTAAGGTCTGCGTACACACTACCCTCCTCAGACCCCACTAGTGGGATTATACTGGGTTGTTGTTGTTGTTGTTGTTGTTGTTGTATTTCTTGATTCCTCCGAATCTTTGTTTCTAAGCTGGTTTCTCATATGGAAAGACCTTCTACCTTAATTTGCCGTAAATTGGTTATGTTCCTGATGCCTCCTCTCAGTTGGAGCCACCAATACCTGAATTTTCTCAATAGCTGCCAGGACTAAAAGATAGTCCTGGCTTTCTGCTCTGCTTCAATTGTATTTAATTAGTTAAGTTTTCTATAATCTTATGGGACTACCCGGTGCTCGGTTTCCTCTTGTGGCAATAGTTGTATCTGGAGAACATCTATCAAAATGCATGTTTTGGGGGGTGTACATATCAGGTCATTCGGTCACTGTGTTCCCTTGAATCCTTAATAGGCTTTACATGTGTCGTGGAAATAGCCTCTTGCAGAAATGCAGGGTAAGGCTGCATACGATAGACCCTTGCGGTCCGGCCCTTCCTCGGACCCGACACATAGCGGGAGCTTAGTGCACCGGGCTGTTTTTTTTTTTTATGTGTCGCGGAATTTTTTTCCTTGCTATCCCACATAACATGTATGCTGTATTACACTCTCGCTGAGAGTCTGATGACCGCATTGATGGCTTTGTCGTCTACGCTTTTGAGCTTGTTTGCTTTAGATTGTACATTAAAAGTTTATTTGATTGACTTCTTAACATTTTAGTTGTTGGGCTGTTGATCAATAGTTTCCTAGTTTATTATATGTGGTAAAGACTTTTTTCTCTTCTAGTACTCACGTCAAAGCAAAGCAATGCTGCAGATCTAATGAAACAAATCGTGAAGATTTTGACGTTATTGCTTGGAGTAGCTGTCGTTTGGATAGGCTTGTTGCAGACATCAACAATTCCAGAGAGTTACACTTGGCTGGTGAGCTCTTATTGACCATCTTTTTTGTGACCTTTGGCAATGGCAGTTGGTTAAAGTTTCCTATTTTTCAGTGATTCTTAGTTTGTTGCTATTGTTGTCGCAGTTGCCTCTATACCTCATTATGTCGCTTGGTTGCTATGGTCTGTTCATGGTTGGCATTGGTCTAATGAAATTTCCCACATGTCCTCAAGAGGCTCTTTTCTTACAGCAGGTACAGTTGCACTTTTTTTTGTTTAAGAAATATTGCTTACTATTTGGTAGCCAAGATAGTGCTGGGAAAACAAGGGCTTCTGGGTGTTTCATCTTTGTGAATAAAAGAATCAAATAATTGGAAAAGGGTTAGGATGATGGGCTCTTCATGAAACATAACGAAAAGTATATCTCGTCATGTTCATTTGCTGTTTTTATTTTGTAGGATATTCTTGAAGCCAAGGAATTCCTGAAGAAAAAAGGGGTAGACGTTGGTTCTGATTGAATCTTGTTTAAGTCGCAATCACAGTTGTTTACTTGTTTAACATATGGAAAAACACATGCCAGTGCATGAATAGTTGACTTTGGATAGTTGCTGGATTTCAGTAGCAAGATTTCTCAGCCGCTAAGGGGTTTTTTGATTTTTTTTTGGCTTCAAAGCTAGTAGTTGAAGTTGGAACCAAGAGAACAAAGAGGCATGGATTTTTCTCGGCTCCGTTTTGGTTGTTTTACCAGTCTTTAATCTTCAATTCTAAGTTGTTCTATGTTATTATTTGGTTAGCCCAGTGTATGCTTCCTTTTTTGAGTGAGAGCCCAGAACTGTGGGAATTCCCAATTTAGTGGAATTAATTAGAAATAACACAATCTCTAACTGTCTTAAATTTCCCAAAGCTTCCCTCTAAATAGACCTTGCTTGTTTTGACTAAGAAGTGTTTCACAAGGTAGTGAAACCATGAAGGTTAATGATGCATTTGATATCAATATCTCCTGAAACAAAAACCAAGTTAATATCATTTTTTGATCAATAAAGTACAAGAGTGGGTTGCTCTAGTGGTGAGTATCCTCTACTTCCAACCAAGAGGTTGTGAGTTCGAGTCACCCCAAGAGCAAGGTGGAGAGTTCTTAGAGGGAGGGAGCCGAGGGTCTATCGGAAACAGCCTCTCTACCGCAGGGTAGGGGTAAGGTTTGCGTACACACTACCCTCCCCAGATCCCACTAATGGGATTATACTGGGTTGTTGATCAATAAAGTACAAGCAAATTAAGCTCCCTCAATGCCATATTTGATGCATGATGCCATGGTTCCATGATTAATTGATGGGCTGGTGTCATTTTAAGTTGNCATCTAACTTATAGCATTTATTTTCAGTAAAATCACATAAATGGTTTGATTCTCGTTACATGCAGGAATATTTGAATTTGATGCAATAATGCAATGAATGAAACACCATCTGTTGTGGACGTAGAAGTCTTTTATTTTATGTAAAATTTTTGTATTTTGATGGCCCTTTTAGTTACGGCAAAGGGCCATATATACCCTTGTACTTTCGAAAATGGTCTAAGAATACCCTCGTTATACTATTGGGCTCTATATACCCTTCCCGTCATACTTTGGATGGAGTGCCTCGTTATCCAAAATAAGGGTATATTTGTTCCAAAGTATGACGGGAAGGGTATATATAACCCAATAGTATAACTAGGGGTATTCTTAGACCATTTTCGAAAGTATAGGGGTATATTTGGCTCTTTGACAATTAAGATACGTCTCTTGCGCATGTCGAAACCCTTTTTGTCTAAACTAATGTAACAGAATTCTGTGATGTTTGGGTTCATCTTCAAAGAAAGTTGGCTAAGGCATGCCGGTGGAATCTGCATTTAACAGTTTTCTTGAATAATACAAAAGGTAGCAGTATTGTCAAAGACTGTTTGTCTAAAGATGAACAAGGAAGGAGGGAAGAAGGTAAATAATTCAATTCTGCAGTTACAAAGGGAAGCAATGTTATTGTTATAGTTTGCACTCTGCGTACAAATGGCTATATAGTACTCCATTTGGTACTGGCTAAACGACAAAAAGAAAGGATTATAGCATTAGGGTAAACAATTACAAGTTTGAGAATTTACTATGAACTAACTTTTGAATATTTAAGAATAAAAAAAATTAATTATGGCTCAAACTTGAAAAAGTTATTAGGATTTACGCCTCAAATGAATGTCTAGAAAGTTGGGACTTAGGCTTAAACGAACACCCTAAAAGTTGGAACTTACACTCCTCAAGTACGCCTCAGTGCGTCTTTAATGTAACTCGCCCCTCACCTCTCTCAAAAATACCTTTTAAGACATTAAAAGAATATGTGTATTATCAATCAAAATACATTTTAATACACTGAAGAAAAATGCATTATTAATGCGGGGACTAAACAATTTAAAGACAAAAATAAATAAGTAATTTAGGTATATATAACAATGTTGTGCATTAGTATTGCTCCTCCAGCATCAATATATAGGGATGCTTGTCATCATAGTCCATATCGTAGGCCATAGTAGGTACTCAATCAAATACTAATGCGGTTCTAATGATATCAGACATAATAATTCCTTCATTATTAAAACAAAGTGTGCCGTTTAGGTTTTGATCAGATATGATTTAGTTAGACTTCTCTTTAGCCCTTAAGTTGCCAGTTACTCTGTGGGTAGCTGGTTGAATTTATTCACAAAATAATACAATATAAAGTAATGGGTAAGAATCATCCAAACCAGCTGCTATTAAAACAAACTAGGAATGTCTATGTTTGTGAGGCGTTTACCTCTAGGTATTTGACAGATATGATAGGCTACACTTTGGAGGTATTCTTATGGATATCGTGTTTGCTCAAACACCAAAAGACGAAATTTCATTGCTGAAAACAAGTCGGTAAAGAGTGAGGGAAGAAAGAATTGGTGTCAAATAGCTTATATCCTCGATGGTTTTGAAAAATATAGGTGAAAATTGTTTTGGTTTTCCTACTTTGGACCAAACACTAGTACTACAAAATTTCATGGAGTATAACTATATTATAGCCAAATGTGACGGCATCTTATTTCTTTGTTTCTCTATGAGCCATTCCCTGAAAACTACTTGCAAGAAATCATAATCTAAATTTTACCCACTTGTATTGTTCTCACATAAAAACATTGGAGTTCACTCGACAAAACAAATGGCTAAACTTCTTTTTCCCCTCATATTTTTTAATCTCTAAAAGCTGGAGTGTGGAGTTAGGGGATGGATGATAGGAAGGAAAAGCTAACCTTTCAAAGTTCAAATCCTAATATTCTGTTCCTTTAATAAAATTCTGGTCTTTAGATCTTCAGCAGTCACAATCAGACACCCTGGATTCTTGTAGCCAACCATTTGACAAATGGTCCTCGGAACATGACAAGAGGCATAAACTACAAGACATTATTATAAATAGAAACAAACATGCTTAAATAACACACAAATGTTTTAAATAATCTCTGTACCATGCATTTATTAAAAGTGTCACGGAAGTACACAAAATCATCACCAAGTTGAATTTTATAAATAAAGGCCCAAACAACAAAAACATCAACTAGAACATGGCTGGGACCCTAAAGGTATGATATATATATACATACCCCAACAATATTGATCATGACCCATATATAGAAATTCCTTTTATCTCCCTTCTCCTTTTGTATCCTCTATTCACAGGTGAAAATAACAAAACCTCAAATCAAACTGGAGACAACAGTGATCATCATGTGACAGTGTAGAGAAACTTGTGGCTTTCCTTTTACAGAAAGGATATATCACCCTCAGCTCTTGATCTGCTCCGGCGGTGTTGTTTCCCGTGATGGTGGCGGGATCCGCCAAATGTAACCGGGTCAAAGGCTCGGAGTCGTTCAGCTTCCTTAGGATCGATCACACATTCCGGTGGAGGGACCTTGTACCGAGTCTTGTCATAGCAGTACGAATACTGCATTTGCTTCTTTCTAAACTTCTCCATTTTTCTTCTTTGATCAGGGGTAATACCGGTAGGGATTGATGCAGTTTTTGGTGCAGTGTCACATTTGGATGATAGTTCAATCGGATCAACTGCGCATCCGTGGAGGACGAAATCAGAGAACTTGGCAATATACGGGGCGTATTTGTAATTGACTTTGTATTTTCCACCATTGGTAGCCCAACCAGAACCATCCCATATTGTAGCATACAAAGACATTGGCTTAGATGGGAAGTCCCCACCCATAGCTTCTGTCCTCTTGATCTCTCTTATGGGGACATTATCTACATAAAAGCTGCAACAAGATGCACAAACACACAAAGACAAACATAACAGAATCAGGGCCTGGTTTACCAAACACCACAAGCACATGACAGTATACAAATCCTAATTGTTTACAGTAATATAAAAAACAAGCAAGCCTGCCCTACTCTCCCATGAAACCCACAGACATGCCAACAAAAGGGTATGTTGAGAATGTCCCTATCATTCTTGTACATTCACATAAATATATCAATTGGTATAAACTTTCCAGTCACTCACTAGTGCAGATGCTAATGTTCTTCTCAAATAGTAGTTCTTAAGCTCAAATATGAAACATAAATAAATCAAAAAGGTCTGCTGTGATAGTTGCATTCATTGGATAATTAGTTCAGAAACAGAAGCATGCGTATCGCAAGTCCAAACATCAACAGAACAGATTTAGCAAGAACCCTCCATCAAAAATTATTAACACCTGCGCACGCCGAATTCTTGTCTTACAGCACTTTCACATGAAATTACTTTTGTTTCCTATGGTTAGTTTTGAGGAGTACAAGTAGGTCATTGTAATCATATATATCTATGTTTAGAACCAAGATAAGAGCAAACTATAAGGTAATTGCACAACATTAGTATCATCAAAATAGAAAAAAACAAAAATTGATACCAAATATAAAGAGAAAGCAAGCACATATAAATGGACCTTTCTGATAAAGGAAAACCATGTATCCATCATATCAAACAGAGATCAAAACATAAACACCAAAAGCAGTAAAAACAGCTCAGAGGACAAAAGACTGTTCAGTATAGCTAGCTGGACTTGAAAGTAACTCATTGTATACGAAGCAAAAAGCTATTTCAGACAAAAATTAGAAACATAAAAAGAAATTGAAAGGGCAGAGAGATGTTGCTTACATGATGAAATTCTCAGTCCAAAGGATACTGTAGTGATGGAAATCTTCAGAAGGGTCAAACCAGAGTCCATATCTTTCTTCTCTGCCAACACTAGTGCTACCATTCCCATAAATATTGGTCTGAATTCTCCAGTCTTTACCTCTAATATTTCCCAAGAACTCAAAGTCAATTTCATCATGGTTCTTCTCAAACATGTCCACATTAGACATCTGTGTCATCAACCCAATTAGCAAAACAAATATTAAAAGGATGGGTTTCAAGGGTTAAAAAAATCCAATTTTTATTTGGAGAAATCCCAGAAAATAATTTAACACAATTCCAGAATTACCAATTTCCATTGGGTGGTGAAAACCCCATTCTTTAAAGGTAAAAAAGATTTTAAAAATAACTGAGTGAGGACAAAGGGAGAAATTTACAGAATTAATTAACATATAAAAAAATCATCAACAGTCCATATGGGTGCGAAAACAATAAGAACTTCCACCCACAAGAAGCAAAAACTGCTAGTACTAATTTAGAAAATGAAAAATACACATAAATAAATAAATTAAAAATCCAGTTGAAAAAACATCAGGATTTAATGTTTGTTTATTAAAATAAAGAATAAAAGGAGCATCAGTGAATTAATAATAACTTACATAAAATGCAACAACCACACCAGCAGTGTAATCAGCAGGCAGCTTAATAGAAGCACTGAAGAATCCA